ACACTTTGCAGAGGTCTTTTGCAGCAGATTTGCCCAATGCAATGCACTGTTTGATTTCTTGACTGCTGCTTCCATGGGTGTTGATTGTGGATCCAAGTAAAAAGAAACCCTTGACAACTTCAGTGTTCTCTCTGTTTATCATGATGTTGCTTACTGGTCCAGTTGTGAGGATTTTTGTTTTCTTTATGTTAAGGTGTAATCCATACTGAAGGCTGTAGTCTTTGATCTTCATCAGTAAGTGCTTCAAGTACTCTTCACTTTCAGCAAGCAAGGTTGTGTCATCAGCATATTGCAGGTTGTTAATGAGTCTTCCTCCAATCCTGATTCCTGGTTCTTCTTCATAGAGTCCACCTTCTCGGATTATTTGCCTAGCATACAGATTGAATAAGTATGGTGAAAGGATACAACCCTAACATACACCTTTCCTGATCTTAAACCAAGCAGTATCTCCTTGTTCTGTTCGAACTGGTCTATGTACAGATTCCTCATGAGCACAATTAAGTGTTCTGGAATTCCATTCTTCGCAATGTTATCCATAATTCGTTATGATCCACACAGTCTAATGCCTTTGCACGGTCAGTAAAACACACGTAAGCATCATTCTGGTATTCTCTGCTTTTGGCCAAGATCCATCTGACATGACATCCCTTGTTCCACGTCCTCTTCTGAATCCAGCTTGAATTTCTGGCAGTTCCCTCTCAATGTACTGCTGCAACCATTTTTGAATGATCTTCAGCAAAATTTTACTTGTGTGTGATATTAATGATATTGTTTGATAATTTCCATGTTCTGTTGGATCACCTTTCTTTGGAATGAGCACAAATACGGATCTCTTTCAGTCATTTGACCAGATAGCTCTGTTCTAAATTTTTTTGACATAGATGAATGAGCACCTCCAGCACTGAATCCATTTGTAGAAATGTCTCAGTCCATCAGTTTCTGGAACTTTATTTTTTGCCAGTGCCTTTAGTGTAGCTTGGATTTCTTCCTTCAGTATCATTGATGCTTGATCATATGCCACCTACTAAAATGGTTGAACATTGACCAATTCTTTTTGGTATACTGATTCTGTGTATTCCTTTCCATCTTCTTTTGATGCTTCCCGTGTCATTCCATTTTTTTGCCCATAGAATCCTTAAGTATTGCAACTCAAGCTTTGAATTTTTTCTTCAGTTCTTTCAGCTTGAAAAATGCCAAATGTATTTTTCCCTTCTGGTTTTTTAGCTCCACATCTTTGCACATTTCATTATAATACTTTACTATTGTCTTCTCAAGCCACTCTTTGAAATCTTCTGTTCAGCTTTTTTACTTCATCATTTCTTCCGTTTGCTTTAGCTACCCTACGTTCAAGGGCAAGTTTCAGAGTCTCTTCTGACATCCATTTTGGTCTCTTCTTTCTTTCCTGTCTTTTTAATGACCTTTGGCTTTCTTTATGTATGAAGTCCTTGATGTCATTCCACAGCTCCTCTGGTCTTTGGTTGTTAGTGTTCAGTGCATCAAATCTATTCTTGAGATGGTCTCTAAATTCATCAAATCTATTTTTGAGATGGTCTCTAAATTCAGGTGATCATGTGTACAGAATAATTGTATATTCCTGGAAACGTTACAATTTTAAATCAAGTTAATCTGTAGACTCCCAGTTGTCCTTATTGCACCTGAAGGATCTGAGTCACTGTTTCATGAAGTGTGTCCTCATTTAACCTCTATACTTTCTAAGAATCTGGTGGAGTATGAAAGAGATTTTTTGTATGTCTGCAAGTGTTCCAGTATAACCTCAGATGAGCCCATTGGATTGTCAATTGTCATGTTGGTCTTTCTGTGACTCCAGTGTGTCCTTATTTGTCTCCTTTTATTCTAGGAATCTGATGGCGTTTAGAGAAAATTTTCAAATAACTGGAAATAGCCTAGTTTTGACTATGGTTGACTCCATCAATTCCAGTATTTTAGGATCTTCCATATTAGGGATATTTACTCTCTGAGCCAGATTTTAAAAAAAAATCACTGTAAAATGGAATCTTCTGGACATCAAGAAACAGACCAACTAACAACTGAAATTATCCCAATGAAAGGCAATGCCAAGTATTCCCCAAACATGTGCTACCCACTCCTGCCTGAAGGTGGGAGTCCTCAGTTATCTAATGGTCTAGGGCAGAGATTGTGGAGGAGCGATGACATCCAGCCACAAGTCTCCTACCCTACGCGAATCAGGTTCAAGTGGGATGTTCATTTATTCACTCTTCATTTATTCTTGTGATATTTTTTGAGTACATAGTGTGTTCCAGATTCTGTTCTAGGCACTGGGGAAACAGAAACATACAAACAAAACATACAAAAAATCCCTGATTTTAGGGAAAGAGAGACAATAAACAAAATATATAGTATGTTAAAATGCTATGGGGAAAAATAAAGCAATAAATCAAGGAAGAATAAGAGGGTATGTCTAGGAATGCGTGTTAAGTAAGGTATCCAAGGAGACGCTTTACATAGAAGGTGATATTTAGGTAAAAACCAGAAGTAAGGAAGCCAGATATGCCACTATCTGAGAAAAGAACATTCTAAGTAGAGGCCAGGGTCCTGAGACTGGAGAACAGAAAAACAAAACAAAAGAAAAAAAAAAAAAAAAAGGACCAGTGGAGTAAGTAAGGTGCAGAGTGTAGTAGGAGGTGAGGTGAGAGGGTACAGAGGCCAGATTATGTTGGACTAGGGTAAAGATGTTCCTTTTACTCAAGTTAGATGGGAAACTGTTGGAGGGTTTTAAGCAGAGGATTCACATGAATCCATTATCAACAGAACTACTTTGGCTACTGTTTTGAGAATGGACGGAAAGGAGGCAAGGGCCTTCTTATATGAGTCACTGAGGGACTTTTCTGCCCCTATTTTTTTTTTTAATTGTACTTCAGGTGAAGGCTTACAGAACAAATAGTTTCTCAAGAAACAGTAGTACACATATTGTTTTATGACATTGGTTAACAACCCCACAACATGTCAACCC